ACACACACATACACACTACACACAATAAAAAACATAGGAAATAGCAAGAGTGATTACAATAGTTCCTATTGCATTACATGCATAGGAACTAAAAACCCTTCATTAGTTGGTTTTAAAAATGGATATATTTTACAGAAACAATTGAAAACAACTATTGCTATTAAGAATAACCACTAAAGTATTACATTCAAGCAACAAGAATGGGAACCTTTAATAAAATAACGAGCATAAGTGACCGAGTGCTTTGATTTATTTGCGTTACAATCTCTTTTATTTTTTCTGTTATGTGCTTTTACAGTGCTTTGATTTATTTGCGTTACAATCTCTTTTATTTTTTCTGTTATGTGCTTTTACAAAGAAAATAAAACATTTTGAGGAAAAAAAAAGGTGGTATTTTAACACCAACCTCATCAGAAAATTCTGAAAAGTCTACACCATGTTCAATCAAAATGGCTTCGGTTTCTGGTTCAATCTGTCCAGCTTCACCTAGACTCCTCTGCAGACACCTGTAAATCATACAGTAGTTAAGGTCAAATATTCAAAATTAGTAGGATCAGATAAATAATATGTGTGTTTTAATAATATATCTTAATACTTTTTACTGTCTTTTAATGTTTTATTGTATATTTAATTGTTCTAACATCCCTTAATACGTTTTACTGTATTTTAATGTTTTAATATTATTTTGTTTTAATGTTTTTTGCTGTTCTGTCTGGAACATTTTAAAGTTTCCAGTCTGTTTTTAACTATTTATGTTTGATTGCTTAGCTCCAAAGCACATTTCTGCTATATTTATGTATAATAGTCTGAATAAAATGAATTGAATTGAATTGAAAAACATTGATAATGGCAATAATAATAAAATATTAGGGTCCTATACATAGAAAAACATTAGCTCCTCTACAGCTGTTGAGTGATACAATATGACATTCCCACGAAACCCTGGCAAAGTAATATTAAACCATGTTTTTATATAATTATATTCAATAATTAATTAGCTTTCAAAAAGGACAGCATATAATTTATTGGGTAAGTTTAATACAGCGCACTGTAAGTTGAAATATCAGAATTAGCCTAACTGTAGGAAAAACCCCATTAAACTTTAGCGTACATGTTGCACACACAGACCTGACAGTTTAATTAAATGTGGCAAAGACAAACCAAACCAGTCACTCGTCGCACATTTTGTGTTTCAGAGAAAATAGCAAAAACATGCTAGAATGTAAAATTTTTAAAAATCTATTTTATTTCACTAAACTAAGGTTCATGTATCTATACATCATGCTGTGCTGTTATTTTTCCCAATTTCAATGTTAAAACTACACTTTTTAATGATTTTATAATAGTTTTTGCATGACAAATGCCTGAAATCATAAACTTTGAAGGCTGATTTCTCATATATTGTTTTTTAAAGAAGGAAATGTCGGATTTGAATGAGATTTTTACCATTTTATTGCTCTTATTTTACTTTTTAACCCTGTATTAATAACTCAAAATTGATTTTTGCGACGAGTGACTGGTTTGGCTTGTCTTTGCCACAAATTATTGATTTTCTTCAAATGTTGACTTGTAATTAACTGTAATTGGGAACATGTCACATATTGCAAAATATCAATTGAAAAATGCTGAGACTCCAAGCTAATAAAAGCTGTACGACTGATAGAAGGGAGTGTGTATAATTGTAGGCATATTGTATTTTTATACCTGTCATAAACCATTTTCTAATTCTGATTGGTTGATTATAGACATGAAAGTGGATTAGTACAATAAAATCCAATCAGAATTAGGATCTGGTGTAACAATAACCACTCCCATAAATATAAGGTATGTAAAATACTGCCCACTACATGTATTATTAAATATTATTGTGCACATACCAACAGCAATATCTAATCATAGAGTGGTACATCAGTAAATCAATAGTTAAATACAAATTTATATCCAGGACAATGTACACAGGCCTTTCAAAAGGCTGCTAATCTTTCTGTTGTCAAGTGTGTCAAAGTGCAAGTAATGCATGAACCAGATACTGATTGGCTGCAGATGCTGAATTTTTAAACTGATTAAACATGATCGTTTCTTTTCTTCTGTCATTTCAAATGCCTAGGTAAAATTTGCTTAATTTGCAATTAAGATAAATCATTATTATACATATACGTCTTGAACAAATTTTGAGCTTGCAACTTATTTGAAAACTTGTAAAATTCATTTTAAAAAAAAATGTTACTGTTTCATTTTTGGAAAGCAGATAATAGCCACATGTGTGTTGCGACTTGGTTTGTGGTTGGTTTATATAAAAGAACATTGTGGTATCATATACACCGTTTTCTCTAAATTTGAAATGTAAATTTCCGAGAACCCGGCAACTACCACTGGGGACATCCAGAGGCCTATAGCATTTTGCTCAAAGTAGTGTGACCTAGGGATCAGTGAGTGGTGACCGGCGAACAAACGTCATGTTGTAGTGAGTTAACCTAGGCCTAAGCTTAACGAATACCAAAACAATAGGGATGCATAAAATGGGTATTCAAAAGTTGGTGGAGTTTTCAATATAGACCAGATCAAATGGTGTATAGCAAAAATAAATGGCAAGTCTGCATCTGCAGTTAATGGTTTTTTTTAAAATAATAAATTCCAATGTTTCCACAAAAAGGAAATAGACCCTTGCATTTTGGATTAAGCATATGCAAAATATCCAGGAAATGCAATAAAATTACTTGGGGCAATCCTATCTCGCAAACCTTTTTTTGAAATCAAGGTTTCTCACTATATTAACATTCTGCCCGTCAAATCTCCGTGTTAACGCAACACTTGACCACTAAACATGGAGATCTCCGTATTTCAGGTTTTTTTACAGAATCTAATAGATAGGGTAATTATCGACATGTACTAACAATTTGAACACTATATTCAGTCTGAATCGTAAGTATTTCACTATTTAAAAGTATCCTATCTGATAAAAAAAGATTGAATTTGCGCCATAGCTAAAAAAAGTGACTCACTTTTATTTTACTGTTACAGGTTACAGATTGCGAGTAGAATAAAGTGTTTTGTACCATCGTAAAGCTAAGATGTTTGTAGATCATGTAGTATCTATTACATGTCAATCTGATCACATACGCACTCTTAAACGAGCTTTGGAAAAGTGTTAAAATTCGCTAAAAAGTCTAGCGGTGGCTGATATTACATTTTTTAAAATTGTGGTGGTCAGAGTGTTAAATGTTATCCATACTGTCTACACAAGCTGACAGTAGATGCACTTCATCTTACGAAAAGTAACTTACCCTTTAGGAAGTGCCTTGTTACTATCCCAGTCTTTGATTCTGGCAATAAACAAAAATTTGGCGAAATCATCCGGACGATCAAGAAATCCCTCAGGACACTCGGATACAGGGATGTACATACGTGGAATACGCGGGTCATTAGGACTAAAGAGAGCATCTACTGCTGTCTGAAAAAGCAAAAGAAATTAACACACTCAAAAAAAAAAAAAAACTATACTGTATTACAAAGATGTAGTATATCATATTATACACTAATTTCTATGTTGAAGTTGATAATTTTTATGTCACTTTAAAATGAGCAAGTTTATTTCCAAAATGGTTATTTTTTTTTTTTTTTTTGTTGGGACAGAACATCTTTAAGTCAGTGGCATACTTAAAGAGCGTCTATTTGGTGTCCTATGTCCTTTAGGCTGTCTTAGATGTGTATAAGAGCGGTGCTTTATGATTGGGTGAGGACCACTAGCTCGCAGAAAAAGGTGATTTTTAACTACTTGAGCATTCCTTTCTTGGCTTTCAACATTTTCAATGCGGGAGCCAGTACTTGTTTTTCAGTGGGGAAGGGGAGGGCATGCAGCACCCCCTCCACTACCCATGCATCCATTTGGAGACACCACTGCTTTAAGTATATTGCTGTACCTTTGTAGGTGGTTTGAGGTGTCCACCAGCCGCCCTGCTATGATTCTTTTGTGAGATATACACCACCTTTCCAAACTTTTCAAAAAACTTTTCTGGTATTGCTTCCTTGATTGGTGTACCTGCAAACAAACGTTTTTTGATGCTATCTTCATCACAAGCAGCATCACCTCCTGTGGTTTCATCACTGCACGTTTCTTTACCACCAAGAGTTAATGTTTCCATACTTGTTGACACTGCTTCTATCTTGTCTTGTGATGCTTCAAAAGCTTCTATGTCAACCTAGTATAAGAATATTACAGAAAATTCAAATTTGTGATACCATTACACAGTATAAGCAGATAGTCGACATATTTTGTGTATCTTATCTGTACCAAAAAATCACATTGGTGAATGCTCTATTAATTGATGAATAAGTTTTATTGCTAGATGAGATGCTTCTGTCTGCAACTGGAAAATATGTTCGGCCTTTATGTAGTGGTATATTTCATTCACATATTTTATTTACATTTTATTCTGGTAGCCAGAGAGTAGCTTATCTCAGGCAGAGTCAGCTGGTGGTTGTCACTGAGTGTGCGCTGAACCGTAGAGATCTTGGTTCCCAGTTCAATTTGCCAATGCCGTTAACCTTGTATTTCAGCTAAATACAGGGGGGCTGAAATGTTGGTTACTATAGTGCGCCTCCTTGCGGATGGGACCTTTAATCGGTTGGTCCTGTGTGCATTACAGTATGGCCCATGTGCATGTTAAAGAACGCAGTGCTGTGTCTCCCGGTGCACTGCCCAATCACCACCAGAAGGACCCCACTGGTAATATTTTTTCTTCAGACTTTTGTGGGCTATCCTTAGTGTTTACACCAAATAAATCCAACAATTTATCTATTACTGAGTTTCTTTATTCATCCATTCATTTTTTTTTTCATTCATTACATTCATTTTTATTCATTTATTCATTCATATATTTAATTTCTATTTTATTCTGGGTGGCACCTTTAGCAATGCATCACTGTTTATTACATGATTACTAGTTCAAAACCCAGCATTAGTGACCAAAAAATGAAAATTGACTTTTTAATATATTCTAATTCTCTATATTATATAGCTTTAAAATTATAGGTCATTTTACTGGAATTGACAGCTTCTTCATACCATAGGTATACTACATTGCCACGTTCTTATGCTAAACTCAATTTAATATTTAGTGACAGTACTGTACGCTGGTTTTGGGATGGCAAATCTCAACAATTAATTTTTTTTTATTATGGGGTTTTGCACGGTGTTTTTGGAGGTTTGTGGTGTTTTTTTAGGTATTTTAAACAAAAAATGGCCTTTTTACCCAAAAAGTAGGTTGTTAGAATGTTACAAACATAAAATTATAATTTTTTTTACTGAGATACCAAGTGAGTCCTATACTACATGACTCAATCACTATCACAAGGTTTGGATGGGGTTTGCGTTGTTTTTTTTTTTTTAGGTTTGCGGGGTTTAGCAATTTTTTAAATACAAAAAATGGATTTTTTACCCCAAAAATAGGTTGTGACGAACATAAAATTACAATTTTTTTTTACTGGGATACCAAGTGAGTCCAACACTACATGATTCAATCATTATCACAAGGTTTGGATGGGGTTTGCACTGTGTTTTTGGAGGTTTGCGGTGTTTTTTAGGTATTTTTAACAAAAAATGGCCTTTCTACCCAAAAAGTAGGTTGTTACAAACATAAAATTATAATTTTTTTTTTACCGAGATACCAAGTGAGTCCTACACTACATGATTCAATCACTATCACAAGGTTTGGATGGGGTTTGCACTGTTTTTTTTTAGGTTTGCAGGGTTTGCGGGGTTTAGCAATACCCAAGGTTGGTATGCTGATGATCATTGGGCATTCACATTAAAACATTAAAGTTCATCAAATCGCAACAATCACAAAAGCTCACAGTAATTAAAATAAAAGAGCACAAAAGAAATACCTCCCACTGATCCTTCGGAAGCAGTTCAACAATGACCTCATCACCATGTAATGCTCGGTTGCGAGCAATCATGCCTTTGATGTGGATGTCACCATAACCATCCTAATCAATAATTAAAATTTTAAAATATAACATTATTAAACAAAAAAGAATTTACTAAACTTTTGTGGGTTCTTTTAAATTAGTGCAAAAAATAATGAGACACAGAATTTTGAATAAGTGGGAAAAAGGGTGTTTACGCCCCATTTTCCACCAGTTTTTAAATATTTAAAAACCTGTATCTTATTAACAGTTTCTCGTCAAATATGCTTTTTGTGTTTTAAAAAAATCAGTTGGTACATCCTATCAAAAAAAAAAATGTCCTCCAGAGCCTGGTCTTGAAATGAAAACATTTTTCAATCTATTGTTTTGAAAAGTATATTTCAGGAAAAAATCATCACATCTTAGAGAGAAAAAAAAAACAGCACAGTGGAAATGTCTGTCTCACTTTTAAAACAATTAAACATCTATGTTTGCATTTGGTCTAGTGTTAAATAAAAAAAATCCACTGCGGCCTCCCCTCACCTAGCCTGACCTTTTTTTCATGCTCACCTTAACCAACAGTCTTTCAATTACCTGCCCACCATCTATTTACATAGGCAGTTTAAATAAGGCCCGCACCCTCTCCCCCCCCCTACAATTAATTTTTCTTACTTTAAAAAAAATGTTCAGTCTGAAAGTGCCATTTCCAGGCATTTACTACTACTGTAGTGCCATAGACATAACATTTTGTTCTTCATGGTGGGGCTGAGGTGGTCTAAAGCCACCTCCCTCTTTAGAAATTTAGAAGACTTTCTTCAGAAGACTTTCTGGGCCCCTCCAAATTCCTAGATCTAACAACTGATTTGTACACACTATCTTCTTTATGTGTAATCTATTTTAATTTGAAATTTTAAATGCCCTACCAGCGAGTCAATAAAGGCCTCTTCATACTTCCTTTGATTGATCCTCAGCAACCCCTTCAAGAGTGTTCCCCTTTTCAATCCATCACTAACAGCTTCTGATGTGAAGTACGATGGAAACGGCTACACGACCAAAACATGAAAATGAAATGATCATTGTTAAATACAAACTTGATACATAAAGCTAGGCACTCAATTGATTGTACAATAGTCATATGACCATTGGCCGATGAAGCCAGCTCCGCTACCTGCAAGCACTAGATGACGAGACGCCTTCTACTAATTGTTGCGGCAGTCTGAACAACCACGTTTTGGCATTCTTCATAGAAACGTATCGGCAGACGAACTATCTGTGCCCAGCTTAACATCATTTTATTGTGTACTCCTTTGAAAGAAGGGGAGATGACTGCAATTCTTTCTATCATTTTTTGCTTTAACATTATGAGTAACTATTTTTTATATACACTAATTTACAGTATATGTTCAAGTTGATAATTTTATAAATTTAGCAGAATATCAAGCAAATTGGCAGTGAGTAGAATGAAACGAATAGATCTATATAGCAAAGTTTTCCTCTATACCTTAAAGTCATTCTTTTTGGGTGTCCCTCTCACTGTGGATGGTGATTGTTGGTTGTTTTGTTGACAATTACTCCGTCTATTTGGTGTCCTATGTCCTTTAGGCTGTCTTCTCGGTGTACTACCCTCATTTGACTGTCTGTCTGGTGTGCCTCCATTAGATCTTCTTCTTCTTCCTTTGCTCTCTTCTTTCTTTGGCGTACTCGATGACATTACCTTCTTTCTAAGCTGTTCCTTGTAATAAACCTTAAAAAAATAAAAATATAATTTAAACATGGTGAAATAACTTTTAATAAACAACATACAGTGAGCAAGAACAAAAACAAACTAGGCCTTGTTTGAAAAATGTACTTTGTGAGTAGTTGAATCATGTAAAAATGCTTGTGTCGTGACTGTGAGAAGTACATTGAGGTAAAAAAATTAAGAATTAAAAGTTAAGGTAGGCCTAGGTGCGAAAGTTCATTTTGCTTACTGACTGGAGACTGAAGTTCCCATCAGGCCTACTACATTGCTAGAGAGGCTACCTAGCTAGGCCTAGAGTCCTCCTCTAGGCCCTAGGATGCCCTACTACTAGGCCTAGGCTAGGCCCTAGCTAGGTATAGGCCTTAGTTAGGGGGGACCATGCCTGGCACTGGTACAGTATGCCTCTAGGCAGGCCAGGCTAGGCCTAGCAGACCCCTACTAGCCTACTACTGTTAAGCCAGTATCGTCGTGATAATCGTTGTGTTAATCGTGATGTTCGTTACTGAGAGAAACAAAAGTACTCAAGGCAGAGAACCACTAAAAATTCATAAATTAATTATACTTTACAGGCCTACCTAGGCTAGGCTAGTCCTTCGCTTAAAAATGGAGTACACCTACAGTACTATTTACGGCTATCGGCAAAGATACTAGAAATACAAGATAGTTCTCGCATTGTAAAAATGAGGCGGAAGTCATGCCCAACGTAGGCGGCGCCCTTCTTTTTAACCATGCAAGTTTCCTATACTTCGTGCCCAACGTACAGGGCGCCCTTCTTATCATAACAATGAAACTAAGTTAAATTAAACTACTTAAAGTAAATAAATACAAATACAGACTTATTTTCCTGTACAGTACTATGGCACATCTGGGAAAACCCAATCCAAAAAGAGAAATATTGAGAAGAGGTTAAAAAAAAAAATAAATAAATAAAAGAATAAAAAAAAAAAAAAAAATTAAAAAAAATAAATAAATAAAATAAATAAATAAATAAATAAATAAAATTCAACATCACAACATAAATAAATAAATAAATAAATAAATAAATAAATAAATAAATAAATAAATAAATAAATAAATAAATAAATAAATAAATAAATAAATAAATAAATAAATAAATAAATAAATAAATAAATAAATAAATAAATAAATAAATAAATAAATAAATAAATAAATAAATAAATAAATAAATAAATAAATAAATAAATAAATAAATAAATAAATAAATAAATAAATAAATAAATAAATAAATAAATAAATAAATAAATAAATAAATAAATAAATAAATAAATAAATAAATAAATAAATAAATAAATAAATAAATAAATAAATAAATAAATAAATAAATAAATAAATAAATAAATAAATAAATAAATAAATAAATAAATAAATAAATAAATAAATAAATAAATAAATAAATAAATAAATAAATAAATAAATAAATAAAAACAGTTCATTTCTAAGCCTGTCAAGGTGATTTTCTCTAATAGTTGTTTTAAATGCAGTACAAGTAAATAAAAAGTGTATAATATCTTCTGTGTCACCAGAATCACATATCGTACAACAACCATTAATTTCTTCTGTCCATTTACTTAATCTAAAATCTAATGGCAGAGTATTTGAACGTACTTTAAATTTAAGATTGGCCCACTAAAATTTGTTTTCTCAAGCAAGTAATTTTCAAGACTGGGCTTATATTTAATTTTTGAATAGTGATGTAAGGAAGACTTGCTTCTTAGCTCCTCTAGCCATGTTTCATTTGCATTCTCCAGAATATGATGTTTTAAGGAAGCAAACCAACCTGAATGATCACTGGTTGGATTTTTAACAATATTATTAAACACATCTGTTTTTTCATATTTTTGAAATGTATTTTTGACATACTTAAGAAATTGGTATCGTAATTGCTTAGATTTAACATCAAGTGTCATCACTAAGTATATCCAGACGCAAAAGGCGCCCTTCCTTTTCCACTAATGGAGCTGAGGAAAACTTTTTCACTAAGAGTGCGTCCCCGGGCCATGCGATTCTGCACTGTATTGTTGTTTTATTTTTACTTTACTGAGTCATGATTATGCTTTAATTGTTTTGTGTATTATTTGGATAATAGCAACGATTTCTACCGCCACCAAGGAGGTTATGTATTCACCGATGTCACTGTCTGGGTGTCTATTCCAGTTTGTTTTTATATCTAGTAAATAAAAAGTGATTGGTAAAAACTCATAATATCGGTACTGGACGTCGGTAAAGAAGTGCAAAATACAGTCATCATTATGAATTCTTGTGCTTTATTGATCCATACTATTGGTAGGCCTATTAGCTCAGGATTTCAATGCTTTTCTAACCCATTATTATTGACATTGAATACAGCTCTGATACTCACAGTATATATTTTTTAATCACAAATTAGAACTGCATATATGTAGTTTTAAAACAATGTGCATTCACTTAAAATTTATAAGAATATTTAAAAAAGGATATAAAAAGATAATATAAAAATTCGGCTTTATTATTCTAATTAGAGACTAAAAAGCGGATATAGGCTATGCTAGGTAGGTAGACCATGGAAATCCCGGTCCAAAAAGTGGTCTTAAGTAATTAGAGTTCGACCTGTATTAATATTATTAAATTTCCTTTACCAAAAGAACTCCATTTTCACGTCATTCATAAATAACTAACTGCATACAATACTAGCGTTATTATACGAACGAGTAATATTTAGTACTTTTTTCATTATAAGTTAGGCTAGTCTAATTATTTATTTATTTTTCTTCAATATCTTAGCTACGCAAGTCAATAGGCCTAGGCTAATTCATATGTCAAGTTTAAAAAAACAAAATGTTAATATATATTTATAATATATATAGATAATTTTTTGTTTAATGTCAGTGCAATATTTTACCTTTCTCTTTCCTTTGGAAATCGATATAAATTATGATCCTGTTTGTATGATGTGTTGCAATTTACTGCACAGCAACGCCCTCCAATACCGTACGTCGCCATAGCGCATCGCGGTGTACAATTTTTTAATTGAGAATTGATAATATAATAAAATACGCGACGACTTGGTAACGAAAGTTTGGCACAAGTTTTTTTAGATCCAGCTGTAGGGGGCGTCCCATTTTAAGTATTCCCACCATGCATTTCGGTGGAACACGGTGGAACACTTTTTTTGTGTGGAGAACTCTATCTTGTACTGTATTTCTAGTATCTTTGCAATCGGCAAAGAGAGAACTAGAAGAGAGTCCAGTCCACTCCACAGCACACACTCAGACTGAAAATGCGTTCCGCTCGACGACAGAACGCCCTCTACAAACTGTTGTTGATAAACTGCGCGAGTGCATTTCCCGCACGATTATCGTAACGGTACTGGGTTCGTGCTTTGAACCAGGGGCGGCCCCAGTGGGAGGGGGGGGGATTAAGTTTCCCACTCGGTCTGGTCAAGCCCACCCATCGGCCAAAGCTTGTTGGGTAGTCGGACCAAAAATAAAAATAGGCCTAGTTTTCCCATCCCAGTAGGCTACGGTGTGGGCCTACTGCCTGCCGATTCGGTCGCGCTTCGAAACCTTATTCGTCAAGCGGTTTATCATAGGGCTAAGTATTTTTTTTTTATTTCCCTTTTGCTATATCTCTACTAACAACATTTTGTCTTTCTACTAACATATTCTCTTTCTTCCATTTACGGTGATATTCATGATTGAAACATAATCTTATGATTGAAACAATTGAATTTAGTATGTGCTTCATGCTATTTCTTTTTGTTGCGTTTTCATATACTATATACTTTAATGATTATGGTCAATAAAATGTATCTGATTTTAATTGAGTTGAATGTTTTTACCATATGAAATCTATTTCATAATTTAATTTAAAAACAATAATCATTACAATATTTAATCCGATCTTTTTATACAATAAATTTATTTATTTTTCTTGCAGCTTCCAGAGTTTGGATAAAACATACAAAGAGAATTGAGGGAAACACAATTAAAGAAATAAACGAATAATACGCACATTATCATTGTTCACTTGAAATTGTTTTTTATGCCCCTGCGCAGTTCATAAATATATACCTGTATATATTTATATATGATTTTATATAAGCATATAGGATATACCTAGAAACAACTATAATAATATTAATATTGATAAATTTAGATCATGTAGCTTATACAATAGACTTGCTTCTATTTTAGATATTTTAAATTTTACCCAAATTGTTCCTTTTATAACTAGAAGGCAAAGTGACAGAAGTAATAAGGGCACCCTCATTGATCATGTATATATAAATCAAACAGATATTGTTGCTTCTATATTACCTCATCCGGGTATAACAGGCAGTGACCATGACGGTATATTCATTAGGTTTAATATTGCATTTGTAAATCACATAAATGTTGGTTGTTACTTTTTACAATACTCTAAGATAGATGTGGATCATTTTATTAAGACATTTTCTGACATCTATTGGGAACCATGTTTTCGTTCGAATGATTTAAATGGGGTGTGGGAGGAGTTTAAGTCGAAGTTTCTACATGCTATTCATAATGTTGTTCCTAAGCGTAAAGCTAAAAGAAAACCTAAACAGCAATGGATAACTGATGAAATAATAAGGTTTTCCAAGAAGAAAAATCGTTTGTTTAAACGGGCAAAATCGTCATTAGACCCACGTAAATGGTCACAATATAAAACATGTCAAAACAATTTGAAATAATGTATAAGAAAATCTTACCATTGTTATGTTAGAAACTGAGCTCTATGGTGTAATGACAACGGCAAAGCATTTTGGTCTTTCGTCCGCAGTTCAAGAGCTTAACAAACTGCTCAAAACTTCAAAATAAACAACTCATTGGTTGAAGATCCTGTTTTAATTTCCAAAACTTTTAATGATTATTTCAATTCAAATTTTACAAATGATTCTTCAACCACATTATCTGATGTACAAATTGATTGTTGCAAGAATCACAATGGCCTCCTTCCACTCTGTAACATTCAGACCACACCAACGGAAGTCCTTCAACTCATCAACAAACTAAAAACTGATAAGGCACCAGGCCAGATGGTGTTACATCCACAATGCTCAAAATTTCAGCTATATGTATTTGTGAAAATATTTAACTTGTCTCTCCAAGTGGGTGTTTTCCCCTCAGAGTGGAAGCTGGCCAGCGTGATTCCAATACATAAGAATGGTGTAATTAATTAAATCACTTACTATAGACCAGTGTCTTTGTGTTTAATTGTAAGTAAACTGTTAGAAAGAGTTGTCAGTAATCACTTAATAGATCATTTAAATATCACCATCTTATGTCACCATTTCAACATGGTTTTGTAGCTGGAAGATCTAGCCAAACAATTCTCAACATTCTTCTTTTAGATTGGAACAAAGCATTTGATAGAATAAGTCACAAAATTTTACTTAATAAGCTACATCATTACGGAATCTGTGAGCCTATTTTGCAGTGGTTTGTATCATACTTAGATGGCAGATCTAAAAAAGTTGTCTTTCGAGGAGCATCTTCCAATACCTGTAACGTGCAATCTGGTGTTCCTCAGGGATCTGTTCTTGGCCCCATTCTGTTAAATATTTTTGTACTTGACTTTCCGTCTGATATTATGCGGACGATACACGTTCTACAATATGCGGACGATACAATTTTGTATAGAGCCATTAGGTCTCCTGCTGACCAGCAGTCGCTCCAAAATGATTTGAATATTATTCTTAATTGGAGCA